AAAATAAAAAGTAGCTTGCTGATTACGTACAACCAAAAACCTCATGGGATTTAGTTCCTTAGTTTCAAGGTTTAAGACAGTTTCATGTCAAAAGGGGGCAAGTGTAGAACAGAATTTCAGATTCTCATGGACTCTAGGCATGGAGCTAAGCGGCTGGGTGAACCCTGAAACTATACCCAAAAAGAAATCTTTAGCACATAAACCAAAAAATCCCCTCAACTTGAAAGGTTAGACAGTAACTTAGGGAGCCATGTGTTTATATTAATGTAGGAGACACAACGAGGAAAAGTAAGGTAAGAGCGGATGCACAAGTTGAAGAATGTAAGCAATGTCACTGAATTGTACATGTAGAAATGGTTGAATTGGTGTCAGTTTTGCTGTGTAGATTCTCAACAACAAAATAAAATTAAAGAAGAAGGAATACCATTAGTCTTTAAGGAAAATTAATGACAAAGAATTAATGAAAAAGAACTTTTCCCACATCACTGTAAGAAGCCATTGCTACCCTGATACTAATACTGAAATCAGACAAAGACATAACAAGAAGAGAAAACTACAAACCAATAAAACTAAACCTAGTTATGGCCACTGCATGTATTACACAGCAGAACTGAGCTCCATGGTATTTTTTTGGTTGAAATCTACAGAAGCCTATCATCAGACCTCTCTTCTGTTTCGCCAGTGGGCCGGGTTTAATCGCCAAACTTTTGGTTAGTTGTTGTTGTTATGTGCCATGGAGTCAGCTCTGACTCATAGCGACCCTGCACAGGGTTTCAGAGGCTGTAAATCATTATGGGAGCAGAAATCCTCGTCTTTCTCCCGCGGAAACAGCTGGTAGTTTCAAACTGGGGACCCGGAGGTTAGCAGCCCAATTCGTAACCACTATACTACCAATAATAGCAATTAAAAAATAAAATACTTGAGGAAAAATATAAGAAAAGTATGTTTAAGATCTTTATCTTGAAAGTCACAAAACATCCCTAAGAAAAATGTGAATGGAAAGAAATGGACTAGAAGAGTCACTATTCTTTAGTTGAACAGTAGATTCAAAATAATCCCAATCAAAATTCCATCAGGCATTTTTGTAAAAATTGACAACTTGGTTCTAAAAGGAGTATTTAGAGGGGAAAAAAACAACACTCAAATAGTGAAAGAATTCCTGGAGAAGAACACAGTTAAAGAATTCATATTACCTAATTTAGGTACTAATAACAGTGTGGAGTCCTGCTGTGTCACTGTGGGTTAATGCGCCAGACTGCAAAGCCATCTGAACTGTAAGGTCAGCAGTTCAAGCTCACCAGCTGCTCCTCGAAAACCTATACAGGGTCGCTATGGGTTGGAATCAACTCGCCAGCACTTAACAACAACAATAGTGTAGGAAAAGAGAGTGATGAAAATTAAAGATGCTTGGAAACAATTTGTCCAATGGACTAATGGGCCACATGGACAGCAGTCTCCATAATCCTGAGACCAGAAGAACTAGATGGTGCCCAGCTACCACTACTAACTGCCGTGCAGTAGTTGTAGGACAAGAACTGGATTGCTAACCACGAGGTTTGAGCCCATCAATCACTCTGATGGAGAAAGATGAGGCTTTCTGCTCCTACACAGATTTACAACCTCAGAAATCCTATACAGGGTCACTATGAGTCAGCACTGATTCAACAGCACTTAAAGTTCTGGATAGAGTAGGATAAAATATAGAACAAACTCACCACAAAAAGAGACGACGTTTACTC